ATAATACAATATATGAATAATAATGAAAGCAATTTAATAATGTTATAATAAATGAAATACAAATTTAAATTATTAATTAATTTAAAGGTAGGAATGATCAAAAGTTGGCGTATGGCTGTTATTTAATGTTTCTTCCCTTGCATTTTTTAACGATTCTCTTATGTACATTCTATAGATGACAAAGTAAGGGGATTTTTTGGTTTTTTTTTAAATAAAACTTGCTCGGGGTTCAATTTTTCTCGATTTATTATCATGTGTTTTCTTAAAATTTGTTTCTTTAGATATTTTCTTAATTACTTTTTCAAACTGCTTAATAATATATTTTTGATTGACTTCATTTACACAAACCCATCATGGTCAAGTTTATCTTTGATCTTTTGGTCATTTGAATTTGCATTGTCTTCAATCCTTGGTAGTAAACACTAAACATCCATTATCAATGGTCAACCTACATTCTGATGATAAAGATACATTATGATTGTTTAAAACAATTGTTTCGCCATTGGCACATGCATGAATATGCTTACAAATATTTAAATAAATAATATTGTCTAAACATGAACATTTGTAAGTATGTACACATGTATTATGCAAATTACAGCGTATTAAACAATCAATGCATAATGTATATTTTGTTTTCTCAACTTTATATTGAACATTATTTTCTGTCGCTGAATTGACCAACCAATAATCATCAACCTTTAATACCATTTCTAGTTTCATATTTAAACTTTTATTATGAGCTGCAATAATTTGAAAAACCTTTGAAGACTTTTTGTTTTGAAATTTTTATAATCCTTTCAAAACTTTTATCCCTGACTAACGACAAAAGTGCATTAATTGATAAATCTAAGCTTTTACATTTTTTTCCCACCTAAAAAGCAGTATTTTATGGTTGTATGAAGTGCTAAGTACATATTTGTAAATTGTATTAATACCTACATGTTTTCTATAAAAATATGCCCGTTTTATTTACTCTAAACAAATACCTACATAATTTTAAAAAACTTCCCAAAATCTTCAGTGTCTGTATCATTTAATACTTTTTGGAGTTCAATATAACAATTATGTTTATTAGTTTCATATAACAGTGCTTTTAAGGTTTTGAATACAATAGTTTTGTTTTTTTCATTGCACTGTATTTTGCTTAAATTGTTGGTCCAATTTCTTAATACATGCCAAGTACATAAAAGCTGTTTTTCTACAGACCCCATTACAGTGTTCCAGCCATTATAGAACGCTCGTTCATCATCAGACAAACACATTTGCTGTAATTATACCAGTTACATTTTTAATACACTGAAAGTAATGTTTAATGTTGTATAAAGCGGTGTCAGATTTATTAGAAAAACAAAACGCAACGGGATATCCGTTTCCAAACTCATCCACCACCACTATACCTAGTATACAACTGAAAATTATACACATTTAACCCATGACACTTATTAATGTCTTTGTTTATTTCTCAAATGCTTGTTAAAACCTGAAATTGATAGAAACTTTGCTTCGCAAACTTCACAGGAAAATATAATGTTATTAATAAAAGTTAATTCAAATTTCAAGTTTGAAGTTTCAGACTTTCAGTTGAAAAACAAAACATTGATATTCTCGTTATGATTGTTATCATAGTTCGCCTTATCAAAGTTTTGTGGCCTATGACGTCATGGATTCTACAAAGAGTTTTTCCTGCTTAGAGCCAAATTTCTTAAACAATATAGGGAAAGGTTGTTGGGTTAGTGATTAGGTATATGGAATATCAGAATGTTGGAAAAAAAAGTCATATAAAAATAATTTTAGATTCTGAGCGGAGCGATGAATGTATTGGTTTTACAATGATGTGTGTTTTTATATTTTTTAATTTTTTAATTTTTATATTTTTTATTTTTTTTTGTGTCTGTCATCACGTTTTGGGACAGTAAAAGTGCTTGGATTTTCTTCATCAGTAGCTTTTCTGATAGGAAAGTGAATCTAGTTGGTACTTTAGGGGGGTCAAAAGTAAATATTTTCCAGTAGTTTTCACAAGCGCCGGGAAAAACAACATAAAAATTAAGGAAAAACGGGAATTTTTACGCAAAATTGGTTTTCCAAAAAATCGATTTTGGTTTTTGGTGTAACTCTAAAACAAATGAACGTATATACATGAAATTTTCACTGGTTGTTTATATTTGCATTTTCTATACACGATAACATTTTCAAAATATTTAGATTTATTTTGAACTGTTTAGGGACATTTCCATTTGTTGGTTGAAAAAGCTTGAAAATTGAATAGAAGGCTAATAATATATTGTTTCAAAGGCAGATGAAAAATATTAAAAATCCTTAGTCACAATTTTTTTTTTATAAGCATTTAAAGTTCAAAAATTGACAAAATATGGAAAAATCACGAAAATTAGCAAATTATTTTGAGTTAAGAATTCGTAAAAAATTTTCTTTTTAAATCTAAGATTTGAAAATGAAACACAAGATTCCTTATAAGATTATCTACCTTTATCAATAAAAAAATCTCTACCGGACAGTCAAATTAAATTTTTATGAGCGTTTGAAATTCAAATGTTTACAACATTGGATATTCACTCGATTACTCATGTAGCGATTTCCTTATTTTGTTGCAATTCAAAAACGAACAACTGTAGATACATTAAAAATTCACTGAATGTTTATATTAGCATTTCCTATACACCATACAATTTTGAAAATATTTTGACTCTTTTTGAGCTGTTTATGGACATTTACAGCTTTCAATTTTTTTAGTTTTTTTTTCTATAAATATCAATAAAGTTTTATCTGTTTAGCCAAAAAATGTAAAAATTTAATACAAGGCTCCTGATATATTGTTACAGTAGCAATTGAAAAATATTAAAAATACATAGGCACGATTTTTTTTATAAGCATTTAAAGTTGGAATTTTGACAAAATTTATCAAAATCTCGAAAATTATCAATCGTTGGAATTAAAAAATTATAAAATGTTCAGTTTTTATAACTAAGAGTTGAAAATTTAAAACAAAGATTCTCTTAAATAATTCATACTGTAACCAAAAAATCTAAAAAATATATAAACACACTTATTTTTTACAGACATTTTAATTTCAAATTTAGACAAAATTTCATATTTAAACCAAGAATTACGATTTTAGTTATTTTGTTGTGATTGAATAATATTATTCGTGGATACTTGAAACTTCTAAAGTGTACTATTATATATCTATGATAGTATCACGGTTTTTGTTGATGTATAACGCGTTATAAGTATCTAATGGATATTGTGATATGATTAATTTGGAATTTATTATAGGTACCTATTATAGGTCAATTTTTTGTTTAATACCATAGATATGTATATAATATGTCTTATACATAGACTGACATACCGTCACCGCTCAGAATCGTTTTTCCTATACAATGATATTATATCATTGAATTCAAATTTAATACCATCCATTATACAGTGACCCACTTGTAACCTACTGTACAGCAGAGCGACACCCACTTGCCCACCTTTTTAATTATTATTTTTAATTTTGAACATAGTTGGTCATAATAAATTAAAGCTTAGGAAAAAAAACAAAGTAAACAATAGTTTACAAAAAAAAAACAAAAAGAAAAAAATTGTACATTTATACCACTTACACTATTATACAACTGTTAGTCATTTATTTGTAATTAATTAATTATTAATATTATGTCGTTTTTGTTACTTAACCCTGTCAGTCCCGAATTATGAAATGGTCAATAAAAAAAATATTTTAATCAAGAAACCTTATTTATAGGACTTCATAAATCCATTGAAAAAAGTAACGGGCACCTTTACCCATTTTTGCCAAAATGGGGGGATTGTCAATTGTAATGGACATTATGACTAGGTGGAAAAATATTAAATGAGAACAAAATTATCATGTGTAGAAATAAATGTAATTGAACAATATACATTTATAAAATAGGTACCAAAATATGATAACCTTTTTTTCATTTCAACAAAAAACATAACAATACATCATTTATAAATTTATAATAAAAACATTATTTTTTTTTAAATAATAATATTATAAAATAAAAATAAATACTTGAAACAAACTTTTATATGAAATAATATAGGTATAAAATAGCTAAAATTTTTAGTGTCTTTTTGGGCCGAATGTAAGGTTCTAAATTATTATGATTAATGATATCACTATTATTATGCAATGTGAAGTACACAGCATGAACTAAGATGTACACTAACTATCTTCTTAGTTCATGGTACCAGTAGCAGATACGAGGGTTGGGCGAAGAGTCGTTCGACCCTTCGCCCCCCCCCCCCATTGGGCTGTCTTGGTAACGTCATTTTTTTTTTAAATATTTGTCTAAACAAAAAGAAAATTGAATTTTTGATTCCTTGACTCCTGGATCCGCTACTGCAAGGTACACAGTCCATATAGTTAGTTACATGGCTAAACATTTAGGTATGGTTAATTAGTTCTGAACACGGACGAGAGGAACATCTCTGTAATAAATAATATATCATACTTTATTGATTTGTTTATATATTTACAGTATTTAAAAGTACTTAATCATTCAAAGCCATTTATGATTTGAGTAACATTAACTTAGCAATAGAACTAACTACTTTCTAACTTAGAAATAGAAGAAAAAAATTGTAGATAAATAGTGTATGTATGATATTATTGTAATATTGATAATATTGATAATATGATATTGTAATAATATAAAATTATGAAATTATGAAGTTCAAATGGGCCAATCAGATGTCTCAATTGGTTTATGGGTGCAAAGACCGTCCACAGAATGCCAATATGCGTGCAGGTGGGGCCCCTCCTGCGAGCTGCGAGTCAGGCTGTACCACAGGGCACAGATGCTTCCCACTTTAAATACGACTTTGATGCAAATTCAACATTGCCTTGCCCCCCCCCCCTTCTCCAAAGTTCTGAGCTCGCTTATAGCACGTTCATATTGATCCTCGTCATATTGATCCTCGTCAATTTCTTCCTTGTCCATTTCTTCCTAGATCATTTCTTCCTCGTCCATTTCTTCCTCGTCCATTTCTTCCTCGTCCATTCTGTTCAAGATCATTTCTTCCTCGACCATTTCTTTCTCGTGCTCTCTCTCCATAAGTATTCCCTGAAATTCCATATTTGCAGCAGAATCTTCTCTGCCTTGCAGTAAATTTTCGCTAATATTCATTAAATCTTCTTCGTCCAGATATTCATTGTCTACAGCAAAATGTACAAAGTCAGCATCATCAGAATTTTCATAAGTAACATTGTATGGGTCATTATTCAGAAATTGTAAGTGAAGCGGATTTTCTTGATATAGTTTTACTACTTCTCGTGGATCACATGAATGATCGTCGCAAGCGCTCATAAAATCGTCGAAATCATCTCTACAAATATCTATCAAATCAGAAGGATCCATTTCCTTATCATTCAGTGCTTGTATAATTTCATTGTTCTCGAAAATATACTCTGTCGCTTCTTCATCCATACCAAATAAACATTCAATATTTATTTTATTTTTGATTAATCGCATAATTTGTACCATCATTAATAGATATTTCCGAGATAGATCATCATAACATATTTTATATTCCTTCAGAGTATCAATTAATTCTTGCTCTTCAGGAGTCCTTTCATATTTTATATTAAAATATTTTTGAAATTCTTTTATATCATTAATTGCATTTACTATGTTATTGGAATTATCTTTACCAATGCGATTAGCTAGTTTAGTTTGTGATAATTCTACATCTAGATTATTACGAATTTTTCCTATCAAGTGGACGCATTCATTATAAACAGTTAATGGTGTATTTTTTTTACTACTTATACTTTCACCATCGGTTTCATAACCATTATCACATTTAATGCTCTTATTGATAAATAAGCTCCGAGTCCAAGGCAAATTATCAGTATGTGACTGACTTACATCGTCGTATTTCTTAATGTCATCAAAAGTTGGAGCAACAGAACCTGTATTAAATTCAGAAAACTTTATCGTTAGTTTTTTCCGCTTGCATACTTTGAATCTTGATGGTAAATTTATGATAATGGGATTGTCTTCACTAAAAATTGCATATGAATTTGGTCGTCTTTTTAGTATATTCTCTATTAATATTGGTGATTCATGAGTATTGCCCCTTTTAGGACTAATAAAACTTTCCTCTACAGTCTCACAGTTTTGTGGTATTAATATACACATATTTGGTTCTGGGTAATATGTTCCTAGAGGAATATGAAATGTAGTGATCACTCGATGCATTCTTTCCATATGACCTAATAAACAGTATGCCTTGTTCTGTGTATCTTCAGGAAACTCGTATCCTGTAGACATAACAATAGGTGGCTTATAACAACCAGCTATAATACGCAAGTAAGCACTATAAACCCCATTAAAATCAAGTACATCTGAATCAACTAGGTGGAGATATATCATTGCAGTATTATTGTCATCTCGGAATGTTTTTATTAATTCTTTTGTTTTGGAATGATTCTTGGCGTGTTCTCGAATATCTCGATATGGTATATTGCATTCTGCGCCTTTGTTTTCTTCTTGGGCTATAAACTTGTTGGCTAAATCTGAATTTTTGGTTTTTAAACATTTATAAAATTTTTTCACATCTTTAAATTCTGCTTTTGTACCAATTTTGGTATACCAAGGACATTTCCAATAAAAACCAAATTGTTTATAATTAATTTCTCTTGTATTAACCTGACTTTTTAATTCTAACCTTAATGAGTCATTTTTTCTTGTACTCAAAGAGCGCATACGATTCAGTCCTATACTAACAGCAATAGTTCGTAATTTATTTTCGTCATGTACCTCAAATCCATTTGCTAATACTTTAGATAACAATGGGTCCACAACCATACTATCTGCTGTATCTTGATTTTTATATGAATTTGGCTCAAGGTCAAGGATCTTCGACTCTGTTTTAATTTTAATAGTTTTTTGGGGTCTAGTAGTAAAAGGCCACACATTATTATTTTCTAATTCATCATACATTGCATTAAATTCTTCATCCGGTTCTTCATCCGAAGAATCATCACTAAATCTACGTTCCGGCACAGCGGCTATTATATTAACAACAAAATAAGGATCAACTCGGCTTGCTAAGTTAATATCTTGAGAATTGTTAACTAATAGATTATTGGACAGTGCAATACGTCTATTATAATGAGGAATCGCATAATAAGGACGCTCTTTAATTGCTTCATTATACTTATTAATACCTCCACTTATATTTTGTTGCTTCAATAAGATATTACCATCATCAACACACTGTTTAGCATTCTTCTCATGTATTTCACAAACCATATTTGCTTTTGTATCATTAAATCTTGTATCTCTAATAACTGTTGTCCTTTCTGAAACAAATAAATATTGACAGCTGGTTAGTAATACTTTATTATCTATGCCGATGTTTGTGTGTGCGTTTAAGCTATCCAAAAATTATCGTGCTCATAGTTCCGAAATTTGGTACATATGTAATTATTTACACGGAAAATGCACCTCGAAGAAAATTTTTAATTTTACACAGGGATTTGTTGGCTATATAGCGTAGGTACTTAATTTTTTTCCAATCCACAATTAAATTATAAGCTACCTCTACCTAGATACTAGTAGATAGTCAATATAGTGTTTAAACTTTATACAGTATTTCCATATACGGTATATACCTAAGTTAAATTTGAATGATAATTTTTAACTTTAAACAATTCACAGTAAATATTTTTTGACATGAAAACGAAATAGTCTGAAATAGTGAAATATAATAAATTTAAAAACAAAATAGATTAACTTAACTTACTTCTTAAAATGAAAAATTAATTAATTAATTTCAAGTTATTTAAAAAATACATTTAGTAAGTTAGCAGGCAACAATAAATTATGAAACTTTGTACACGGCATTAGTTGTACCATAATTAAATATTTTGAACATTTTTGTATAATAATTTAAAACTTTAATATAATGTAGGTAATATTCTTAATTTATATAAATTTTACCTAATGCATTCTTTTTTCTGTTTCGATTTTATTAATCTGTTTAGAATTTTTATAGATGCAAAAACACCTTTTGTTATTCATGAGATTAAATATCTTGGTGTTTTAATTAAGAGGACGTGATACCCGTATGCGTTGTCTCCGTCTTACAAATGTACAATATGGAAAAAACTGTTTTGCGCGGGATAGAACCACTCCCTTGGTATGGTTGTAGGAAAAAAAACCAAGGAAAAAAAACCACGAAAAAAAAACAAAAAAATAAAAACAAAAACAAAAAAAACCAAATGAAAAAAAGACTATGGAAAAAAAAACCAAATGAAAAAAAATCCATGAAATTAAAAACCAAATTTTTATATTTTGCTATCATTTTTTCTGTCATATTTTTAGTACCTATTATTATAGAAAATTTCAAATAAATATATTTCAGTAGAATAAAATACAATATAAAAGTTATGGATACCTCATTGTATAATAGAGAACACGCATTAATAAGTTACCTAATTAATAAATTACATAAAAAATTACAAAAAAATATCTCATCAATTGTCAGTAGAATAAAATATAAATAAAAAAGTTATCGATACCTTATTGTATAATAGAGAACACGCATTAATAAGTTACCTAATTAATAAATTACATAAAAAATTACAAAAAAATATCTCATCAATTGTCAGTAGAATAAAATATAAATAAAAAAGTTATCGATACTTTATTGTATAATAGAGAACACGCATTAATAAGTTACCTAATTAATAAATTACATAAAAAATTACAAAAAAATATCTCATCAATTGTCAGTAGAATAAAATATAAATAAAAAAGTTATCGATACCTTATTGTATAATAGAGAACACGCATTAATAAGTTACCTAATTAATAAATTACATAAAAAATTACAAAAAAATATTTCATCAATTGTCAGTAGAATAAAATATAAATAAAAAAGCTATCGATACCTTATTGTATAAGAAATTGCAGTTAAAAAGTTTTCAATGTCACGGGTACCTTTATTATAATCTTCACATAACTTTTTTAATTGGATTTGTAATTTTTTATACACCGTGTTTTGTCGCTTCTGTTGGGGTACACGGCGTACACCTAATTCAATTTGGGCCAGCTTAGTTTCATCAGATGCCACTTCTAACCTTATTTTATTTATAATAGTCCATATTGTTGGATGTGTTTGTCCTACTAATTTACTGAACCTGAGGTTCCAACCTTCTGTAGAATTGTTTGTTCGTTCTTCGTCATTTAAAGTCGATTCATTTACGTTCCATAAATTTGGTGGAAAAATAAGTGGACAATTTCTTAAAACTATTTTATTATTTTCATTTTTAACTTGCCTATACTTGCCATTTACATATGTTTCATCAAAATAATTTAATAAAGATTCAGCCTCCTCAGGAACAATGTTTTTTAAATATGCCATACCATCTTTAACGTCTCCTATGGTATCTTTAATAATATAAAATATTATCTTTAAATGGTTAAATACTTGTGCATTTTATACACACTCATATAGGTACATACACACACCCCAACAATACTTTCCTAAAACATAGTACCTATACAATTATTTACAGTTTATACTTATATTCTATTCTACTGACAAAATATTTATTTGTAATTTTCTGATTTATTAACTAACTCATTAATTTTTGTTCTTTATTATACAACAGACAGAATACCTAAAATATGATAGCAAAATATGAAATTTGGTTTTTATTTTCATGGTTTTTTTTTTCGTGGTTTTTTTTTCCTTGGTTTTTTTTTTCGCACGCCCTTGGTATTTATAGTAGAATTACCGAAATTCCACAGTGCATAGAGAACAAGTTTATCTGTGTCGCAGTGTTTTTATTTTTTTTATATCATTTACCAATAATTTTTAATAATTAAACGAAAAAAAAAAAAATCCTAAAGTTCTCAAACTGATAACTTTAATTTTATTTATGTTATCCAAATAATAAAAACGCTACGACACAGATAAAGTTGTTCCCTATGCGATGTGGAATTTCGGTTATTCTACTATAAATACCGAGGGAGTGGTTCTATCCCGTGAAAAACAGTTTTTTGCTATGTTGTACATTTGTAAGACGGAGACAACGCATACGGGTATCACGTCATCTTAAGAAAAATTTTTCAAAAACTTACTACATTCTTCACTGTTATATGCTTTTGCTAAATATTTTAGAGCCATTGATGTTTTTGATTCACTGCTATAAGCAGTTTTAGACGACTGAAAACTACAATGGTAAACCAACCACCAACGAACAGCGAACAGCGAATGACTTAAAATTTGTTCGCCGGTATTATTTATAATCTTCGAAATATTACACAATAATATTTAATGGTAAAAAACAATAGGTTTGTCCCCTGTGAAATTAAGGACATAGGTGTACTGGATAAACATATCGAAAAGCTTCTAGAATGTTCTATTTGACTCACAAATTAAAAAAGCACAAAACACAAAAAAAAAAGTTTTTTTAATTTGAAAGAATTTCAATTCTAAGAATAATGGTACGGGTTTTACGTTTCTACTCACACTGTTCAATAAGCTATGAGCAATTATTGAAAACATTATTGAAAAAATACGTATGACGTCATTGGAACCGGCTCATCGTAATATTGCCATAACCAATGGACTAATGGACAGCGCACTCCGCCCTGCCATCAATGCACGGAAATCATATAAGAGAAAGAAAGAAGAAAGAACGAAGAGAGATAAGAGAGAAAAAACATAATAAAACATAAATAAAACATACATAGACGTATGCAAATACCAATACATCAACGTACGCAACTAATACTGTATTTCCCCCACGTTCTCTTTTCTCTTTTACTCTATATAGTACCCCGACCTCTCTCTAAGCTCTGTCCACTAGTTTATAGGTCTATGGTAATTTCTAGAGCTAGAATTTTAATGACCTAAGCAATACACAAAAATGCACTAGAAAAAATGCGAAAATGACTTAAAAAGTTTAACAAATGATTTTGATTAGCGATACAATTATTTTTAAATAAACAAAAATTAGTTTAAAAACACATAATGAACATAATATTTGTAAATTGTAATATAACGTAAAAATGATCTTAAAAATGCATTTAACACAAAAAATGCAAGATAAAAATTACACGTTCTAAATTGTTATATCACGAAACAAATTTTGGTTTTTTGTTAGAACTGTATACCACTTTAAAAAAAAAATGCAAAAGTCACCAAAATCCTAACTCTAGTAATTGCCCATCTTATACGTGTTGCAAAAGTTCCTCGCTTCACACAACGACTTACCAACCTAAAAATGTTATTTTGGAAACTTAATTTACATAATATAAATGTGTGGTTTTATGTGTTTAAGACGATACAAGTATTAGAATTTCAATATAACGTTTAGTTTTTTAAGTATTAAAAATCTTAAAATCTATTTTTGAATTTTTATTTTATATTTAAATGGCCATGACGCTTAGACCCTGTTTTTCAGTAGTATGTCTAACGGTGACTTATCACCTAGATCCCCGTCCTACTAGATTCCCATGGCTATCTAGAACCCCTGTTGTAGACTAGATCTCCTATTATCCTGTGGTAATTAGGCATTATAACTTCAAACGCTAATAAAAAATAATGTAAATTTCTGGCAAACATTTAGCTGTAATGAACATTTTGCTGTAATGAATATTTTTTTATCTATATATTAGGCGAAAACAAATGTGTATATATTTCTATACTATACTAGATAAGGAACTCCTACATAATTTAAAGTATAAAGCTTAGCTGCGGACAGCCGTAATTTTTTCGGTTGACAAAACATTTCATTAATTATACAAATTAATGTAGGTACCTATTAAGAATAACAATATGGTTTTTAATGGTAAAATAAAATAGTAAATGTAAAATGATTTATTTGAAATATTTTTTTTTTTTAAATAACGGGTTTAGAAAACAATACAAGATAAATCATAATTAATCTTATTTGTCATATTAAATACCATACAATTGCCAACCAACCTTGAAACTTTAACTCACGGTGGGAGTTCGCTATATCTAGTACTAGTGTACTATACATATAGAAATATGTAGTGCTGTATAGTACACGGTTATATATACAGAATGATTTTGCTGACATGCCTGTTTATTTAGTCATTCGTGGCACTGTGGCAGTAGCCATTGGGCAGTGATTACTGACCACCGACTGCTAATTTTTAACACCACTAATTCCTATGATAATGCACTAAATATATTGTGCAATAATTGTGAGTGGGTACATTTTATTTGTGCCATCTACACAATATAGACCTTATAATTTCTATGCATCTACAGACTACAACTACAGTACCTATATAAGTGTACAACCCGTAGATAAGTATACCCACAACCGTTGAACCAAGGGACGGATCCAAGGGGGGGCTAGGAGCCCCATATTTTTTTATAAATATAAATATTATATATTTATAAATAACAAATAAACAAAATCTAAACTTCTTTTCACATTGTCGCTTTATATTATATTAAATAATCAATAATTTATTTATCACATTGAGATTACCTATAATATATTTTATCACAAAATTGCTTTATTCTATTCAATAATAAGTACTTTTCCTTATTTTGTATTCTTTGTTGGCATATTTATAATTAAATAATACCAATATAAAATATCATTGTAGGCCAGGTGCGCACTGCACAGTAATAATACACTATATATAATACTATAATAATTACAATTTAGCAAATTACATTAAACACAATATAACAAACTATTAGGGGATTTATTGAAGCGATAGTAGATAACGAAATGAAACGAATAAAAAATACGTGAAGTCGTGAAATAGCACTAATGAAAATGGAAACACGAAATGGAGTGGGGATTAGCTTAACTTTAACCAGTTGGTCAGCACGAGTGCACGACTATATAATAATATACGCGAGATGCGGCCGCCGTGATTCCAGATTTCATTATAATACCTCCTTAAAAAGTTTGCACGTTTCCTTTAATAACTTAATTTCTAACAGTACGATTTCGATGATTTTTACAAAAGGATCATCTGCACAATTTTTTGTGAATTTTCCCCATTTATTCGGTATTAATTGATTCTGTAGATAATTTATTAGGTCCGATCAAAAAAAAAACAACACAAAAATGTACACTGTTTAAACGGGCCGCACTCCTGCTAATATCATACACTGTCGTCTGTCGCTATTTTTTTTTTACTTAACTCGACTGGCGCTGAATATAATATAATTATTATTCTCAAATTTTATCACATTTTAAAATGGTCTTATGCCCATAAAATAGATGGATAACATGCAATTGCTCGAATGCGTGTTTTGAGATCCAGTGTATATGAATCAACAAACTATATAAATTACTCTCACAAGCATTGAATCAGCAATTTTTTTTTGTTTTTATAATTAATTTGATTTAATTTTTTAACTATAAATTTACTATTTGATAATAAAAAGTATTCGATATAAACGTTAAAACTATACTGATGATTTTGTTTAAAAGCTGTGTTATTTATAACACATTGATCTTTTGACCTGAGTAATAATTAACTGTATGATAAATGATAATCTGAAAATGATTATTTTAGATTCTGAGTGGAACGATGAATGTATTGATCTTACAATGATGTGTGTTTTTATATTTGCATTTTCTATACACGATAACATTTTTAAAATATTTTGATTTATTTTGAACTGTTTAGGGACATTTTCAGTTTCCAATTTTATTTGTTTTTTTTTTTATGAATATTAATAAAATTTTATTTGTTGAGTAACAATACTTGAAATTTTAATAGAATAAAGCTCCTAGTATATTGTTTCAAAGGCAAATGGAAAATATTAAAAATCCTTAGTCACAGTTTTTTTTATAAGCATTTAAAGTTAAAAAATTGACAAAATATGGAAAAATCACGAAAATTAGCAAATTATTTTGAGTTAAGAATTCGTAAAAATTTTTCTTTTTAATTCTGAGATTGTAAAATTTTAGAAAGTCAAATCAAATTTTTATGAGCCTTTGAAATTCAAATTTTTACAACTTTGGATATTCACTCGATTTCTCATACATCGATTTCCTTATTTTGTTGTAATTCAAAAACGAATTACTGGAGATACATGAAAATTTCACTGAATGTTTAAATTAAAATTTCCTATACACCGCATACAATTTTTAAAATATTTTGATTCTTTTGGAGCTGTTTAAGGACATTTACAGTTTTAAATTTTTTTAGTTTTTTTTTTCTTTAAATATCAATAAAGTTTTATATGTCGGGCCAAAAAGTGTAAAAATTTAATACAAGGCTCCTGATATATTGTTACAATATCAGTTGAAAAATTTCAAAAAATACATACGCACAACTTTTTTTTATAAGCATTTGAAGATCGAATTTTGACAAAATTTATCAAATTTAAAATTGAATAATTATTTTGTAGTTAAAAATTTATAAAATGTTCAACTTTTATACCTAAGGATTGAAAATTTAAAACAAGGTTTTACGTAAGCAGTTAATTCTGTATTTATAGTAATTTTAAGTTCAAATTTGGATGAAATTACATAAAAAAAACCTAGAATAATTATTTTAGTTATTTTGTTGTGATTGTATAATATTATTCGTGGGTACTTGAAACCTCTAAAGTACACTATTATATATCTATGATAGTATTAGGGTTTGTTGTTGATGTATAACGAGTTATAAGTACCTAATGGATATTGTGATGTGATTAATTTGTAATTTATTATAGGTACCTATTATAGGTCAATTTTTTTTTAATACCATAGATAAGTATATAATATATCTTATACCTAGACCTAGACCATAGGCGTGCTCACGAGTGTTGCAGGGTATGGTATAGCAACACCTGCGGGGTGCAAACACTCACAATTTTAATTTTTTCTAACTAACAAAAGTTAGTACGGTTAGTAGTTAAAATTTACAAAATAAGAAGCATTACAAATTAAATTTATCAATATATTATTTTGAAATATTTTACAATAAGTTTATTCTTGTAGTGTGGGCATACTAGTATGTTGTATTGTTGATAATAACATGACATGACGGACTATAATCTATGTATGAAACTAGTACCACAGAATTCTGTGCTGGTACCTCCATAAAAACCCACTTAATATTTGTCGTGATAATGATAAATTGATAATCTAATGCAATGTAAATAATAATTGTGATAATTTGTAAATTGTT